CCCGTCCCAACCTGTAGGACCGTGAAGGCCTCAGAGAGTCAACCTCAGGTCTGGAGCTGCCCAGGAAAGGAGGGAGGGACCCCTAGGCCCCTGGGCTGTGGCTGGCAGGAGGCCGGCTCCAGGTCAAGCCCCAATCACCCGGCCCTTGGCCGCCTGCAGCCGCTCAGCAACCTCTGCGGCCCAGACACAGCGCCACTGTGCACCCCGCTGGCCAGCGGCGGGCAGCTGGGCGCCGGCCCTCTGCGGTGTCAGGAGATTTACGCCGCATGCACTCCAACCAGCCACGTGCTTGCGGAGGTAGCCGGCCTGGCCCGGGGTGGTCTGCCGTGAATCGGCCCCCTGTGAGCAGATGAAAGCCAGCGGTGGCCAGCCAGGGAAGCGGGCTGGCGCGGGGCCAGCGAGGAGGGAGAGGCGGCCGCTCCCTCCCAGGTCTGCCACCGGGGCTTCCAGGCCTGGCCTTGATTAGAGTGCCAGCCCAGACCGCCGCACAGGGAGGTCTGAGGTTAACCCCTTCCCGCCTGCCGGATGGGCTCCCCTTGGCCTGTACCCCTCAGAGCGCTCCAGGATGGTGGGGCCCAGGCAGCCCCCCACAGCCTGGCACCCTTTCCTAGGCTTCCGTCCACACACCTGGAACCAGAGCCCAGCCTCGCTGCAGCTGCGCCCAGTCCATGTTGCAACCACCCTGCTGCCACCTAGCTGCCCTTGGACTCCTCCGCCCCCAGCCTCTTGGGGCGGGGGGTGGGAAGCGAGGTAGATGGCTCTGGCCGCTCCGGCCTCCTTGTACATCTGCTGGCCTCTACTGGACTTCTCACCACCTGAAGCTAAACTGACTAGTTATTAGTTTACTCTGGGTATTCCTCAAATACACACTGAGCCTAGCACAGAGTGCTTGGGACAATGGAGAAGGGAGCCGAGCAATGAGCAATCCCAGGCGTGAACCCCACACCTCAGAAGGTGGGAAGCGCTGGAGTGTGCTGGGCAGGAGGCCGCGGGGGGCCTGAGTGGGGTGAGTCTCCAGGAGGACCTGGAAGCTGGGTGCCGTGCCGTCAGCACCAGCATCTGCTAAGCCTACAGATGGGGTTCTCCATTTCCAAACTGTGGGCACTCTCCCTCCCCCCCAGCCCTGGATCCAGCTCAGCAATCACCAGCCCCAGCCACTCAGAGACACCAGGCCACATAGGCAGGAGGCCACCACGCCCGCGTCAGGCCGTGGCCGCGTGGCTGCAGGCTGGGCTTGGGCGCACTTTGCAAGGCATCAGAGGGGAGCCACCAGCCAGGGACACGCCGCAGGCCTCAGGGACCCCGAGGTGTCCTCCCCTGGGCTCCTGGGACCAGCCTGTTCCCACTCACCTTACCCACAGCTGGGTGCAAAGCAGGGAAAGCCTGGAGAGGAGCCGGGGAACAAGTACAGGTGCCAGGGGCTCCCAAAGGGCCGGCCGGCTCGGCCTACGGAAACCTCGCTGACTCCCACAGCACCCGACAGGAGCCATCCTACGTTCTAGACTGGCTTTCTAAGCGGCCACTCCTCCCAGATGGAGCGGAGGGTGTCCAGAGCGTGCGTGAGCGGCTCTGCCCTGATGCTCCTGGGGCTGCCCACGGCCCAGAGCCCAGGACTGCGCAGGGAAGGGCGGCAGCACAGCCGCCTCTGCATCCGAGTGCAGGAGGCGTCTCAAGTCCCGACTGAAGGCAGGCTGGGGCTGGAGTCCGGGGTACTGGGGAGACATGATCTGGGCCAGGGCAGGATCGAGCATGTGCTAAGGTCCTGGGGAACTTCCCCTCACCCTGCTCTGATTCATAAGTGCGCCTCTGCGAAAGCTTTGTTGTTTTATTTTTATTTCTTTGGGGTCGGGTCGTGAGGCCTGAACTCTGGGCCTGGGCTCTGTCCCTCAGCTGAGGAATCGAACCCAGGGCCTCATGCATGCGAGGCAAGCACTCTACCACTGAGCCACCTTCCCAGCCCCAAAGCTTTGTTTTAAAGCCTCTGATCTGCTCCCAGCGAGGCTGGCCAATGACAGCGGGAATCTTAGCTCCACACAGTGGGCATGCCCTCTGACCCCAGCCTCTCTCTCCACCAGGCTTCTTTCAGCCTCTTCTCCCTCTGACCTCAGGTGCCTGGTCTTGGGCTATCCCTACCCTAGGAGTTTACGCTGGAAGAGGCTATCTCAAGCCTGGGAACTCAGAGAGAGGAAGGCCTAGGCCTCCCAGCTTGTTCAGGAGCCGGGGTGGGGGTGGGACTGGGATCAGGTTCTGGACACCTGGCCATTGGGGCTACTCCAGACTCTCCAGCTGTGCCTGTGTGCCCAATCCTTACACAGGGTGCCACTGTGGCTCTGTCCCCCTGGATCCTGGCTGCAGAGATGTGGAACCGGCAGGGGAAGCACAGAGACCAGAGAGAACGAGGCATTGTGAGGACCTTCTGTCCAACAAAGCCATGATGCCCAGGTCTGCAGGGTGGGTGCGATCCCCCCCTCATGAAAGAAGAGGCTGAGCCGGTGGCTCACGCCTGTAATCCTAGCTACTCAGGAGGCTGAGACCTGAGGATCCCAGTTCAAAGCCAGCCTGGGGAAGGAAAGGCCATGAAACTCTTATCTCCAATAAACCACCAGAAAACCAGAAGTAGGGCTGTGGCTCAAGTGGTAGAGCGTTCACCTTGAGTTGAAGAGCTGAGGGACAGCACCCAGGCCCAGAGTTCAAGGCCCACAACTGACCAAAAAAAAAAAGGAGGCTGAGGCCCAGAGAGGTCAGAGATTCTCCCAAGGTCACACAGTGCCGGCCATGCACACTGTCACTTGTCAGCTCCCCTGTAAGAACTGCACACCTCAACCTCTGTCTCCTCATAATGGCACTCCCAGGGAGCAGCCGGATAAACCCAGTTTTGAGATAGGAAAACTGAGGCAGAGGTGACTTGTCTGAGGTCCAACAGCCAGGCTGCCTCAGGATCTGGGCTTTGCACCCGAGGCCTGTGGATGACAATGTCTTCTGGCCATCCCTACCTTCCGGATGCTGGGCTCACAGACCGAGGGCAACCCTGAGGCAGAAAGGAGGTGGAGCTGGCCAGGCAGAGGCCATTGTTCCCCAGGGCTGGATCCTGGGGTCCCAGCAGGAAGGAGTTTGGCTAGAGCAAGTACTTTGGTGCCGAGGGACTCTGCCTACTGGCTGATGGCAGAGCCCGGGCCCAGAGGATGTGGCCCCTGGTGGTCAGGAGGGGATCGCCCCAAAGCCACGCAAGCCAGTGCCCAGCCATGAGGAGGGGCCAGAAACCAGGTGGGTGGAGAGCCAGGCCCCTCACGCCAGGGGCCTGTCTCCCATGTGGCTCTGGCACAGCCACCCCTCCGTGTGGCTCTCCTGCCCAGACCTGCTCAGTATCAGCAGTGCCCCCTCGGGGAGCCCGCAGCCCACGGCAGCCCCCCGTAGCATGGCGTGAGGGCCCCCCAGGCACCCGGCTCCTCAGGAGGGGAGCTCTCACCCCAGGAGTGAGGTCCCCCTTTGGCTCCCGGTGACAGGATTCTGTGCAGTAATAGGTGAGAGGATTTTTTTCTCTCTCTTCAAGGATCAGGAGAGCAAGCGAGGGACCGGCTGGCTCTGGCACGCAGGCTGAGTGCCTGTGACTAGCTCGGGAAGCAGAGCGTCGGCGCTGGCTGCCTGGTCGTCCCTCCCATCCTGCGTTCCCGTCCCCTCCCTCTTACTCCAGGCCTTCCCCAGGCAGAAGGAACCATATATGGACTCTTAGGACAGGGGATGGCCCTGCATAGTAGGTGTTTAATACACACACGAGCCAGTCCCACGCTCCAGGGAGCTGGCCTCACAGGGCAGCACAGCCTACTGCCCACTGCCCTCCACCCGTCATCCTCAGCCATGAGCGGGAGAAGCTGGTGCAGAGTGACCCTGGCGCAGTCATCATCCCAAGCCCCCCCAGAGTCCCGCGCACCCGACGCTGCTACCCCTGGGAGCAGTTACCCAAAGGAGAGGTGGGCTACCCAGCTGGCTCTGCCACAGCCCCCCTCCCCCCCCACTGTCCTCTCCACCCAGGGGTGAGGACCAGAGGGTGTGTCCGCAGGTAGACTGGAGGCTGGAGACCCCAGCAGCGCGCCAGGGGCCAAGGGCACCCCTCTGCCCTGGCCTGGGGTGTGGTGGCACTTACGTCGGGGCTCCCGGGGTCCATCCACAGTGACCTTGATGGCTCGGTGGTAGGTGGCCACTTGAGTGGGGTTGGTGAACACCGTGATGGTCAGCGTGAAGCTCTTTCCTGGGGGATAAAGGCAGGAGGTTGGGCCCTGGCATCTGCAGGAAGGCCGGGTCTCTCCCCTCCCAGCCCCGATGGAAGAGGGGGCTCGGGGTGAAGGTCAAGCTGCTGAACTTTTTTTGGGGGGTCCAGTCTTGGGGCCTGAACTCTGGGCCTGGGCGCTGTCCCTCAGCTCTTCAGCGCAAGGCTAGCGCTCTACCACTGAGCCACCTTCCCAGCCCAAGCTGCTGAACTTGATGTTCAAGGTTCCTGGAGATCTGGTAAGGATTCTGTCCCCCTCCCCCACGTTCCCCTCCCCCCACACTCCTCCACCCCCCCTTCGCTTTATTCCTTCTTTTTCAGAGCTGTTCTTTCTTTTGAGAAATCCATATAATTTTGGGGTGGGAGGAAAAAGGGCTGCATGTATGCATATGTGTGTGTGTATTTTTCTAAAACCAACTGACTTTTGTAGAAAAATCCAAGAATACAGAAAACATAAAACAAACAAATTAAGTTCATAAAGAAGGGGCTGGGAAGGTGGCTCAGTGGTAGAGTGCTTGCCTAGCATGCATGAAGTCCTGGGTTCCATTCCTCAGAACCATATACACAGAAAAAGCTGGAAGTGGTACTGTGGCACGAGTGGTAGAGTGTGAGCCTTGAGTAAAAGAAACACAGGGACAGTGTGCAGGCCCTGAGTCAAGCACCAGCACTGGCAAAACAAAACAAAACAAAAATCCATAAAGAAGAAAGTTCCACCCAAGTTCCACTAGCCAGAGATCAACACCATTACCACAGATATTTGTTTTACATAGTTGCAAGAGTATAAAATGGTTTTTTTCCTGCCATTTTTTTTTTT